CATTCTTCAAAATGTGTTGCCTATGTGTTCCATCTTCCTAATATCCAGGTCCACTTCCTGGATTTTGTTTGCTGAAGAAAATTAGAGTTATTTGGTCAGATCCTCCATTTTAATGGTCTCAGGATGGCAGACATGAGAGCAGCTAGGGTGCAGGTATGGATCAGTGGGCATGGCTGATCAAAACATTCTGATCTGTAGGGATGTAGAAGCATGCAGGAATGGAACAAACATGGACAGCACATCTCAGAGAATTCCAGTTAGTTTAAGTAATCTTTTTACAGGAGTGGAGTGCAGGATTGAAACTTAAGTGTTTGCACGTTACTGAGAACCACTAAGCCAGTTGCTTCCAGTCTAACCTGTCTGATTCGGTGCCAGCTATCATTGCTATGCAGTTTCTGGACATTTAACAAGTAGGTTGTTACTAGCACGGAGACCTGGACACTGAGACTAGACATTGTAACAATAGGATGCCTGGAGAGTTGGATGGTACTGAGATACAGATGTGGAAACTAAGGTTTTGTAGACAACGGTTCTACTTGTGAATAAAGGATTCAAGACCAACTGTGCTGTCTAAAACCTAGCTAATCTGGCCAATTGCCAGAAGGAATCCTGGAAGGAATGGTGGGCCAGTTGATTAGGCAGTTATTGTAATGGAAATGTACAGTGGCGTAGCATGGGTCTCCAGTGCCCAGGGGCCAATGCTTCCATTTGCACCCCCCTGTCTGCAGCCGATCACTGAGTGGGGGAGGGAGGGTTCTCCTGGTAGCTGATTGCCAAGCCTGGAAACTCCAGGCTGGCATCCAGAGGCGTGGCCCCTTCCTGCCCCCCGTCACTATGCTACTGGAAATTTATATTGACATTTTTAAATTTAGGAAAGTAAACTGTAGCTGTATATTTCCTTTTCATTTTTAACTTCTGTTTTTTAGAATGACTACTAAGATCAGGAAGGACATACTCTGTAGGATCAAAATAATTATCTCTGCTACTGGTATATTTTAATGGCAGGAAATGGATTTGTGAAACAGTTATGGAAGCCATTTCAGTTTTTACCTGTGTACTATTTCTTTCTCTTAGAACATTAATAGCATTTGAGATGCTATAGATCTTCATCGAGGATTCTGTTGTGATATCTGTTTGTTGTATTTTCTTAAAAAGTATATACCTCTTACTAAATGGTCTTATGTCACAGAGACATTAATTAGCATGAGGAAAACAGGAGTTGGTGGCTGATGTAGAACAATGCACTGTAACAGCTAACCTCACACAGGTCTGATATCTGTGACCTGACATCATCAGAATGTACTCCTTCCTCCTGGAGCCGTTTGAAACATCTGCAGCCAAACATGCAGATGTCTGATCAGTTTCTTTGGTCATCTATAGACTCACTGGGTGCGTCTACACATGCATATGATCCTGGGATCAGTTTACTCATGAGTAAACTATTGGAGAGTAAATGCTTGTGGACAGGCATCTACACATGCAAGAAAGTGGGAGCAGATTTGCTTCTAATGGCAGCAAACTGATTCTGCTTCCTGGAGCCCTGCAGTGGGCCCCTGCCACCACCAGGAAGAGCTCTAGCCCCCCTTCCCCCTGCTAGCCCAGGGGTTGGCAGGGAGCACCAGGGCCTGGGCTATTACACCCTTTCCCCAGGGGCTGCCTGGAGCTGCTGACCACAGCTCTCCAGTGAGGGGCAGGGGACTTGGAAAGCTGCAGGAGAAGGGCAGGTCCCAGGCCCCTGCCCTGATCCACCGGTGGGGCAGCTAGCAGCTACCTCGCTGCTAGCAGCTCCACCAGCAGATCAGGGCAGGGCGTTGGGACCAACCCCATCCCTGAAGCTGTTTCCAAGACCTGTGCCTTGATCACCCAATTGGGGCATGGTGCTGGGACCTGCCTCTAATCAGAACAGTTCCCAGCCCCTGCTCTGCAATTGTGGAGTGGAAGCTGGGGAGCTTGTTGCCTGCTCAACTCCATGAGTGCAGAGCTGGGTGGGGAACAGGCTCCCCAGCCCCTGCCACCAGGGAACTCCCAGCACCAGCTCCACAACCGTGGTGCTGGGAGATAAGGATCTCCATGGTCGCAGGGCTCAGGCTGGGAGATCCTTATCTCCCAATGCCAACTCTGTGGTTGCAAGGCTGGCACTGGAAAATAAAGGTCTCCCAGATTCCTGTTCCCTGATCGTGATGGTGAAGTTGGAGCTGAGAGATAAGTATCTTGCAGCCCCCACTCCCCAACTGTGATCTTGGAGCAGGGAGCCTGGAGCTCCCTACTGCCATGGCAGGGGGACATAGTTCCGGCCCAGGCTCCAGTGGCAGAGCCCACCCCAGTAGTAGGCAGCTTCTAGGGATAGGGAGCAATCTCCTACTACCTGGTGGCCAGTCAGGCATCTACATGAGTGCTACTGTGCTGTTACTAATCAAAGGTAAATTTGCGATTTGTATTCGCAGGTAGTAAATTTACTTGTGATTAGCGAGGCTTACTGTGCAGTAAGCATGTGTACGTGTAGATGCACATGCCTACTGCACAGTAAACTACACTCCTGCGCAGTAAAGCATCTCATATAGATGTGCCCACTGACCTCCCTGCTTACTGGAATACTGTCATTCTTGTATTGAGGGACTGCTGCTGATGCCACTGGAAGTGAACATTTAACCACAACCATAAACAATAAGTGATACCTGAGAAATTAGAAAAGCTATGTATGTGAGGGTGACATCAGAAAGTATTTTCCCACAATGATCTCAAAAACAATTAAAGATATTCACTAAATCAAAGCTAAATTAGATGGAAAAGACATATTAGACAGAAACCTAGGGTCCAATTCTGTCATCCTCAAACTTCTGTGATAAGAACAAGTTAGATCCAACCTCTATGGATCTGTTCCCATTGAGTTCAATAGCAAAACTCATTGATTTCAGCCCTTCCTCCAATGGACAGTCCCTCTGAAATACTCCCTTGAATAGGAATGGAAGAAATGAGCCTTTGAAATATTCAAATTTACCTAGATGTGGTGTGGTGGTTTCTGGATTAATCAGGTCTGGCTTGGAGAATCGAGTCAGTTAGTTACAATTATATTGTAAATTTAAAACAGGGAAAACCTAGGTTTAAATGCAATGACATATATAAATAAAAGGTAAGGTTTAAAAGCATTTAGGAAGGACTGAATTTAAATAATAAAACATAAAAGAAAAAAATTATATACTAGAACTAACAACTTATCAAACTTCAGAGCATTATGGCCCTTATGCTACAAGATATCCACGTTTCACATTGTGCTCTGTGCAGAGTCCTGGTGAAGTCAACAAGACCACAGTGCATGGAAGAAGATGTGGCCTGGAGGATCAGGGGATTCTGAATATGCTATATTCCATTCTGCTCTTTGCCTAGTGTTTGTCTCTCTAGATGGGAAGCCTTTTGGGAACCAAGAGTAAATACTTGAGTTGTTCCCTTTCTTTGTGTTTATACAATACCTAGGCTGCAAACAAATATCACATGTATTCCAAGATAGGCCATTTTATCCTGGGACAAAGTACAGTTTTACAGATGACTGTCTGTTGTCCTGGGATAAATCCTAATACAGTTCCCTGGATAAGAGGTAGTAACAGTTTATCCTGGGTTATTGTGAAGTACATCAGTACAGTTATCTTAGAATTGCATCACTGAATCAATAGCAGAAAAGTGGCACTGTATTCAGCCACTCACTAAACCCTGATTAGAAGAGTGATATGTGTACATGCCAATCCTGCAATATGTTTGTTCCAGGACAAACAGGTATAATTGATTCAGGGGCAAATGTAACATCTGTTCTGAACCCTAGTGTAACATGACCCCCCCCCCACCTCTGCTTCTTGACCAAGGCCTTTGAGCACTCTCACAATTAAGATCATGATCATAATTTCTTAAACCAGGGGTTTTCAACCTTTTAAATCAGTGTATCCCTGGAGGCCGAATGTTGAGGGGGGACAGGAGGGGTGTGTGCAGCCGGACATGGAGCAGTGGTGGGTGCTGCATGAGAGCTTCCCCTGCCCCCGTGTCTATCCAGGTAGGTGGCACCTGCGCAGCAGCATGGGATGGTATACATACCCCCGGTTGACAACCCCCGATGTAAACCAACTGCGTATTTTATGAAATATTGAGACAAATCTGAAGAGCATTCAAGCCTTTATCCTTCAGTTGACACAGTTATCTGCAGGTTCAGGCTCAACATGTTGACTATGCTATCCATAAAAGAGGATTCAGAAGGTAATGAAGGTCAATGGTGTAACCTTTTGTGAATGTAGCTCACAAACACGCAGGACTTCATTCTGCTTGTTCAGCACAACAAAGTCTGTGCAGTATTAAGTCCTGTTTAAGAAGTACGTAGGATATATTAGGCTGTCCCTTTGCATAATAATGAATTTCATTACATCATTATCCACTAGAATGGGAAGCAAAATTTGGCCCATAAAGCTCTTCAGATTTCAGTTGCCTTGTTACACTTTGGAACAGTCACTAAAAATCTAACAGCTCTTTGAAACAAACTGAATTTCTGACACATAGATGGTGACAAATGCTTGGAACAGGAAAAAAAGCATCTTGATGAAATAATGACAAGCTACTTAAACCTTGTATTTCATTATAGACATTTCAGAAAGTAAACGTTGAGAATTTAAACTTTATTTTTGTAAAAATTAAAGATATCACTAATAACATTTATTTATTAGCTGCGAAATTAACTGACATCTCATGTTTCCATAAAATACATTTTTGTGTTGAACAGGTATAACTGAGTTTTATAACTTATAGTTTTATGTAGCTAGAGGAATATATGGACAAATGTATATAAAGCCATATGTAAATTTTAAGGTTCCAGGAATTTATTTTATCAGAAGAGGGTAAAATTAACTGGCTAACCATTTCGCTTATGATGTCCTCTCACACCTGTCATGAAATATGGTGTGATAATAAGTGCTGCACATTAATATTTTACTTCTTAAAACCTGAAGAAATTACTGTTTACATAGTTTATTTCCAGTGATTCAGTGCAGTCAAGAGCTGAAAAATGGTATGAAGTTCAAAGCATACACATAAATTAGTTGATTTTTAACATAGGTGCATTCACCTACCTGTTAGATGTTTATAGCTGCATGAGTTCTTTATATGAAAAAATAATGGCTTGCTATCATCAAAGAAATACCAAGCTAATCACTTTCTTTGCACAGTCCTGGACTGATTAGCCAGTATGGAAGTATAAACAATATTATGTTTGATCACTTGTGTATTTATTTTAAAAGGCTGCAGGAAATCTTCTATTTTAAACAGTGAAATAGACACAGCAGTTGGGACTTTGCAATCTACTGATTAGAAATACTGGTATTCGAATCTCTTTTCTAAATGAGCATACCTTTTTTCTTGGAGATTAAGACGATATCCAGCTAAAAAGACTGTATACCATACCTAAAGGATTATATTATCTATAATCTACATGCACTATCACTGCTCTTTGACACCACATTAAATCCTTTCTTCAAGATGAACAGATATTCTCTGTGTTTGTTTACATGGAGATTATGGGCCTGATCCTGAGAGGTGCTGAGAGCTTTCAATTTTGAGTTATTTCAGTAGCTACCGGGGACACTCAGCAGGCAGCCGGACCTAACCCTGTGGCAAAAAGCAGTAACTGATCACTAGTTTAAGACAGAATTAGACACATGGAGATGAATTCAACAGTGCCATAACTTAGGCAAGCATTGTAATTTAGGCAAGCGGTTTTTGTTCCCTGATCTCTTTGACCGTTGTTGCAATACTGTAACTGCAAAGTAAACAGGGTGTATATCAGGAGACAAATTTTTAGAAAGGAAAGCTGACCATATTCTTAGCAAATGTAATGCTGTGAAAAGCTCCCCCCAAAATCACTGAAAGCTGAAGTCCCTGAGCCATATAGAAAATGGGTATAGTACAAACAAGTCCATTTAAACTTTACTGTTAATATGCTTCAGACTTAAACCTAGGTGATCACAACTATGGTGAGGCATTGGCTCAGTCTTCAATGTCTGATCCATCCTTAGCCTTTCTACAGGGAGTATCATTAAATGTGCCAATTAGTGTCAAATGCAATAATGACTTTTTACTGAGAGGTGAGGCTTTTTTGTGATATCTTTTATTGGACTAAAGTAACTGTACAGTTGGAAGAGCTCTTGGAAAAGCTTTCAGGCATCAAGTGCCCTTCCTCAGGTCACTAAGGACATCTATTCATTAGGAATTGGAGTAAACCTTCATTTCATTTCATGGAGACAGCATCGATCACCAACTGGTATGGAATTGTAACTGCTGTCAGTCTGCTTTAGATCTGAATCACAATTTACAGGTGGATTCTAACTTCTCCATTTTTATTTCCTTTTTCTTTTCCATCTGCACAGGTGTGCCTAGCAGTGTGGCATGAACGCGGCTGCACACATTGCACAGCTTAGAGGGAATGCTGCTGGGCAAGTATCCTCCTTCCCAGACCCATTGGTCTCAGGCTTTGGATACTCCCCAAATTCGGGCAGGCATCCTACATACAAGCCCCAGGCCTGAAGGTGTTGAGGTTCAGAAGCCTGCGGCCTTTCTTGATCTTAGCCAGAAGGCTGAGTTGCTTCCACTAGAAAAACTGTGCCTCTTCCAAGACTTCTTTTTCAGTTGATCAGGCTTTTAAATGACTGTGAAAAGAAGGTAGCAAGATTGTACAAATCTGGGGCAGGCACTCCTCTCTCAGGCTAAAAGCAAAGACTGGTTTATCTAAGGTCTGATTGTCCCAAGTTTGACTCCTGTGGGGCAGTCTTTTGTCATGCATCTCAAATGGCAGTTAACTGGAATTAGCTCCAGTTGTCCCAGAAAAAGTGCTATCTCACTACATCACAAGCACTGGTGCAAAAGTTGGAGAGGCCAACTAGGGGTCATGGTCTTCCTGACCTGCTGGTCACAAACAGAGAAGAATTGGCAGGGAATGTAGAAGTAGATGACAACTTGGATAGCAGCGACCATGAGATGATTTGAATTCAGGATCCTGAGGAAAAGAAGAAAGGAGAGCAGCAGAGTAAGGACCCTGGGCTTCAGAAAGGGAGATTTCAGACTCACTCAGGGAACTAATGGGCAGGATCCTTGGGAGGCCAATCTGAGGGGAAAAGACAACCAGCTCTCCTGGACTCATTTAAAAAAAAACAACCCCTACTGAGGGTGTAGGAACAAGCCATCCAGCGCACAGGAAGACTAGCAAGTGTGGCAGAAGACCAGTTTGACTTAGCAGAGATTTCTTCAGTTGCCTAAAACATGAAAAGTAAGCTTACAAGAAGTGGAAACTTGGATAAACAACTAGGGAGAAGTATAAGAGTATTGCTTGGGCATGAAGGGATGAAATCAGGAAGGCCAAAGCGCAATTGGGAGTTGCAGGTAGCGAGGGATGTGAAGGGTAACAAGAAGGGTTTCTACAAGTATGTCAGGGACAAGAGGAAGGTCAGGGAAAGTGTGTATCCCTGACTGAATGGGAGAGGCAGCTAGGTGACAGATGATGTGGAAAAGGCTGAAGTACTTAATGCTTTTTTTATGTCAGTCTTCACAGGCAAGGCCAGCTCCCAGATTACTACACCTGGCAGCAGAGTTTGGGGAGAAGGTGAGCAGCTGTGGTGAAAGAACAGATTGGGGACTATTTAGAAAAGCTAGATGTATGTAAATCCATGAAGCTGGATGCAATGCACCCAAGGGTGATGAGGAAGTTGGTCAGTGTGACTGCAGAGTCACTGGCCATTAACTTTGAAAACTCATAGTGATTGGGAAAGGTCCCAGATGTTTGAAAAAGGGCAAATATTGTGCCCAACTTTAAGGGTGAAAAGGAGGAGGATTTGGGGTACTACAGAGAAGTCAGTAGAAATCCATTTCTAAGTACTTGGAGGAGAAAGTGGTAATTAATTAAGAACAGTCAGCATGGATTCACCAAGGGCAAGATATGCCCTGGCCAACCTGATTGCCTTCTATGATAAAATGACTGGCTCTGTGGAGGCATGGAGAGCTGTGGACGTGCTATACCTTGACTTTAGCAAAGTTTTTGAAACATCTCCCACAACATTCTCGCAAGCAAGCTAAGAAAGTATGGGGTGGATGAATGGACTGTAAGGTGGATAGAAAACTGGATGGATTACCATGCTCAGAGGGTACTAATCAATGGCTCAGCATCTAGTTGGCATCTGGTATCAAGTGGAATGCACCAGAGGTTGGGCCCAGGGCTGGTTTTGTTTAATATCTTCACCAATAACTTGAAATATGGAATGCAGTGCACCCTCAGCAAGTTTACAGATGACACCTAGCTGGGGGGGGAGAGGACAAGGGGCGGGGGGAGTAGTGGATATGCTGGAGAGTGTGGCAAGGATTCAGAAAGACCTTGACAAATTGGAGATTGGAGGACTGGACCAAAAGACATCTCATGAGGTTCAATAAAGATAAGTGCAAAGTCCTGCACTTAGGACAGAACAGTCCCATGCACTGGTACAGGCTGGAGACTGAATGGCTAAGTAAAAGCTGTGCAGAAAAGGCCCTGGGAGTTACAGTGGACAAGAAGATAAATATGAGCCAACAGTGTGCCCTTGTTGCAAAAAAAGAAAAAAACTAATGCCAGCCTTCAGCTACCTGAAGGGAGGTTCCAAGGAGGATAGAACTAGACTGTTCTCAGTGTTGGCAGATGACAGAGCATGAAGCAATGGTCCCAAGTTGCAGCAAGGGAAGTTTAGGTTAGATATCAGGAAAAACTTTCTCATTACGAGGGTAGTAAAGCACTGTAACTTTACCCAGAGCGGTTGTGGAATCTCCATTCTTAGAGGTTTTTAAGATCCAGCTGAACAAAACCTTGGCTGGGATGATCTAGTTGGAGATGGTCCTGCTTTGAGCAGGGGGTAGACTAAATGACCTCCTGAGGTTCCTTCCAGTCCTAATTTTCTAGGATTCTGTGATACTTCAGGTGGGACAGTGGGCTTGTGTAAATCTTAAAATAAAAGTTGTTTTTTGAGGGGAGGAGGGGTGGAATTGATTACTTATTTTTAGCCTCAGGTAGAAGGATGGGAGGCGCTAGCACAAGAGTTAATAAGGTGATATGGGATCTCCTAGGCCCGTAGGGACGCTAAGGCATTCACAGAGCATGGACGTGTCTTCTGCATTCTGTTTCCCAAGAAGCTATCTCCATCGCCTGAGGAAATGTCTGGTGGCTATTTCTGAGAGGAACCCCACAATGATTTTGTGTTTTGAGCTCCATCCCACTGTTTTTTTTTCTGATCAAATTTTATGTATGCTATGCCACTCATCTTCAAAAATACCAGGAGCTAACTTTTTAGGCAGATGTGCCACAAATTAGTTCCACACCCTCCCAGTCCCCTTCTCCTGCCAGATTTGTTCCTGTTTTCTGCTTTCTGCCCTTTGCTCCCTGTCCATTCTGCTGCTTTTTTCTGCTTCCTGCCCTATCTACTGTTGTGTTTCCCCCTCCCTGTTTTGCTGTGTGCCATACACACAACCTGCTCATGCCACTTATGTGCAGCAGGTTGGCTACACCTGTTTAAAACGTAGGCCCTAATTCTGCTTGCCTTACTCACGTGAATAATTCTTTAAACAAGAAGTCCATGGGCTCCAAGCCGGTTACCTGAGTAGGGAAAGCAAACAGGATTTGGCTTCAGATTTCCCAGTAACTGACAGGTGTGATTAATAATAAGAAAATTCAAGAGAAATCATATTGTAAGTATCACAAAAACCAAAATAAATAAATAAATAAAATCTGTAAACAAGTTTTCACTCTAAGATATGTTATAGGAATTTAGGATGCTCTTTTGGGAGGATTTTAGAGGTTGTGTTAGTTGCATTTAAAGCCTGAAAAAAGAAATTTTTTAATACATTAAACTATATGGTATTGGGACTAGAGGATAACACATTCTTTTTTAAAAATACAAATGATCAAGAACAGCTTTTCCATCCTAATAAGTTCTTCTTTTTTAAACTGGATCCTTTCTTATGATTTTCTAAAAATGTAATTACATGTTTTTGGCTGTCATTTCCAAAGACTGCCTTTATAATTCTGATACATTAAATAAATTGAACTGAATCAGCACAAACATTTTGATGAAGACCTGAAGGGCAGGTCAGATAGATCTGAGCCAAATGGGTCTAACTGTGCCTCTTAGAATACAGATTCAATTCTGTTCCTGCTGAAAAGAATTGGAGTTTGACCATAGATTTCCCTTGAATCAGATCATTAGTCATCTATTTCTTTGTGTGTGTGTGTGTGTGTGTGTGTGTGTGTATGTTTTGTGTGTGTATAAATGGAGGGGCTGGGGTGGAGAGAAGGCTGTACTCAATAAAACTCCCACTGGCTTCTCATTAACTGTAGCAAACAAATCCTAGTTTTACCTTCTTTGAAAAATATCAATAATAGCCCAATACTTGTGTACTTTGAGAGTGCATCAGGAATACATGACGTAGCCCAAGTATTGAGTAATCAGGAATTTTGTCTCAGTAACAGTGAAATTATTTACTCTGTAAGATTTTCAATATTTTGGCTTTATAAGTAGTGAAAGCTCTGGAAGGATCAATCTTTCCTCAAAAACCTTGCCCTCACTTTAATTTTACACTAAAACATAAATGCTACAGTAAAATGTATATTTTTTCATTAATAACCTCTGAATATTCTCCACTTCTGAAAACTACCTCTAGGTAATGGCTCATAAAATAAATGAAATTCCACTTTAAGATGAAAAAAATGGAAACAAGAATGCATTCTTCAACATTTTTATAAATGCCTATAATCCTTTCTTATGCAGGCACCCTGATTAACATAATGCCAGTAACTTCACATGAGTAATGACTCCAAAATAAGAAACATTTTAAAGGTAACTATCTTTCTCTTTTTGTTTATAAGTGTTTTGAGAATTTCCTGGCAAAAGCACATTCATTTAAAAAGGACTAATCATGAACTTTGTTGAAGTTGGTAAGATCTTTGCTTATAGACATGGGGGAAAAAAACCCAGCACTTTACTTTCAGCTCGGTATGCCTCTGCACCCGGTGCAGTGCATGCTCAGAAGAGGAATCACATCAGTTTGATCCGGCTCCCCAGCATCTGTATAACTCTGGCTTCTCAGCGAATCAACTGATAAAAGTGTCAAAAAGTCCCACTGAAGTGTGCGAGCTATACAGATGCTGGCGAGCTGGGTCAAATTGATTCCTCTTCCGGGAAAGTACTGTTTATTTTTTTCACGTCTGTCAGTGCCCTTTGGGCTTAAGCCCTTTCTGAAGAACTTCATTTTCTTCTTCTTTTCTTTTACATTCTTTGTAAACTTAACTGTTCTTAGGATCTGGCCTACCCATCTAAAAACAATCTGCTCCCTTTCCCTTGATTTCAGTCAGAGTAACATCAGGCCTTTAGTGAGGTATTATGATCTTGTTCTTAGTTGCACGAACTTGTGATATATTCCTTTTTTAGCACTGTCAGATATGTAATACTTAAAACTATCACAAATCATTCTAATAAACACTTGAAAGAAAAATGGTTTTTGAATTATACCCCTGAAGTATTCAAACCAGGTTTCTTTCTTGTGTTTGAAATCCTGTGCTCAGTTAAAGCTTTTAAGACAATCCATGTTTCTAAGACTGTTCTGTGTTTTTTAAGAGCTTGTTCTACAAGTTCCTGATTCTGAGAGAGAATTAAGTCCAGCACTAGTCCTTAAAGCTGTGTTTGGAAGTGCCAGACACTTTGTTCCAGATAATTAATATATGCAGTTTATATATCAGTAGGGACCAACCTCTTTGGCAAGTATGCCACAAATTAGCCCTGCAGAGTCCAATCCCCTTCCCGTGGTGGATCTGCTGCTCTGCTTTCTTCTTCCTATCTTATCCGTTGCTGTCCTGCCTGTCTCCTCCCTGATCTCCTGTGTCACACAGAGGGGCTGCCTGTGCCACTCCTGGTACACATGCCACAGGCTGGCCACCTCTGTTGTACATAATGCATGTACATTCACGTGCCCCTGACTAATACTATATATGCTCTGGAGTTATTTCTTTCACTGCTGTTTTTTTGTTTTACATACTCCAATAGCTATTCTACTGATGTCATAATTAATGAGTTCAAAGAAGCTGAGCAGTTTTGTTTTGTTTTTTTAAAGTAGTCTCCTTCAGCATATTTCAACTCTCCTTTTAAAGAATTTGTTGCAAAAGCAATTTCACGTGAAAACCACTGGCAGAAGAAATGTCTTACCCAGTGGCTGACCTTTGATGGCATTTATCTTCACTCATGTGGGGTGCTGGAGTAGTTTGACTTTTCCTCCTTCCTCCACTCATGGAGATAAAAGTCACGAAATTATAAATGGTACAGATACCGAAATACCCACTCCCTCCTTTAAGACAGGTTGTAGAATGATACAGCCAATGTTTTATAATGTTCATGCATTTGGGATTTTTGATTATTGGAAAACGGTTGTTGATATCATTGGCTAGTGATTGAGCCACATCGAATTCAAGTCTAAAGACGTTTTGCCACTGACTTCAGTGGGGCCAAGGTCTTTAGTGAAGAGAATTTTGTAACATGTTTTGAAGAGCATTTCTCTAGTCCGTGTAGTCAGAGTCTGGGAAATGAAGAAAGATTGCACACAATTGCTAGAGGACACTAAAAGAATGGATCCAATGCCACATTTCTCGTTCTCAGAATTATCATTGCCATCCATCAGAGTTCTGCAAGCCCAAAGCTATATTGCTATTTGTGCATATCCCGTGAGTGACATCATGCTTTTGGGAATCTGAACCATCTATAATGCACATGCACATATTATGACGGTGTATAAAATGATAACACACCAATACTGAAGCAGTAAAGGTTGGGTTAAAACCAAAATCTGTGATAAGAACAAAACCTAGTATTTTCCTCTACATGTGCAATTAGTATGTTATCGAAACACTTGTGATGTCTCAGACTTCCTTTTCTCATCTGTACATTTCATCTTATTCCAGTCTTTTTCTTCAAATTGCATTTGACCGTGACCCGATTTCTGTCTTCACTAAAGGATCAACTGGAAAGAGGAAACCTGGCTGAAAAAATTAATTCAAACTCAGAAAACACTCTCTATTAATGACAAACAGATTTCATTAACTTAATTTTGTTGACAGTTTCAAGAAGGTAAGTCACCTTCTGGCAGCCATCCACTGCCAAGAAATGCCCTCGCCATTGGCATTATTGCTTAATTATAAACTCTAAAGCTAAAAGAAAAAAGCAGATAAATAATTACCTTTTATGGGGTAAGGGTGGAACTGCAACCTATTAGCCATATGGTGTTCTTTCTGCATTACTGATCTTTTCCTTGCAGGTGAGGACCTGTACAGTAATCACCTGGACTGTGGTCTGACTGTTGGGTAAGGTTTACAATGCATGAAATAGGCATCTTGGATTGTAAAATCCTCCAGGCAAGGCCCATGTCTTTCTAGGTGTTTGTACAACAGCACTTAATATAACGGGAGCCCCAGTCCCAAACTGGCCCAGTGGAGGCTGGCAGACTGTGAACTCTGAATGGTAACAGCAATTGGTGGAAGCGGGAAGGGGGCTGTTGGCATTCTCTTCTGTGGGGTTGACTGTTCAGGGGGCTGCTTTTCTATCCCCCTTCTGAACTGCACAGTCATCCCCGGCTCCTGCCTACCGCTGGCCTTACTGCAGACGGCCTGGGCTGGCCCGGGCAAGTGGGGAGCTGAGAGTCTTGCAGGATTGGCAAAAATGCCACAGCGGGTTAGGAGCGCTCCTCTCTCGCTCTGTCCCAGGCCTGAAGGAGAACCTGTGCCCTGCTCACACAGGAAATCTCAGCTTGCGCCTTTCGGGCTTCAGTCTGTGAGGAGGAGGGTTGGGGGGACAGGCACACACCCAAGTTCCTAGTCAGCTGAGGGGCAGAGAGGGCGTGATGTTGATGTTGGTGTAGCCGCAGGCCTGTGCCCCTCCGGTCCCCTGGAGAGACACTGTGGAGAGGGAAAGGCCGGGGGCTGCTCCTGGAGCTTCTGGGCCCTCCTCAGCGCCCGCTGCCCGGAGCCGAAGCGCGGGGGCAGGGGGAGCCGCTGCCTCAGCTGCAGCTGCGGGCGGCTCTGCCCCCTGCCCGCTCGGGCTCCGCGGCCGTGGCCAGGCTGGACACGGGCAGCACGACGTCCTTGGGGCTGTGCTGCTGCAGCCGCATGGACTCCTCGTAGGTGGGCAAGTACTTCACCTCCTCGTAGCTGGGCAGCTGCAGGAAGACGGGCGA